CCAACCTGAGTGACTCTATGATTCTATTTAGCTGGGTCTGTACTCTGTACACGTTACAAAGGGCAGATGTTGGCTTTAATGGTTAAAAAAAGCAGTTTGCTACTGATTACTGGTACAGGAGACACATTAAGGAGTGTTTGTCCGTGCCCTGTGATTATCCTGCCTTCACAATCCCGCTCCCCAGAACTGCTGAGCTGAGCTGCTCTTCATTCCTTGTTGGAAATTATGTATACTCTGTGCCAAGGGTCTGGGAAGGGAGAAGAGTTGAAGGGATGATGCTAGGAAATGTGCGCGTTCTTTGCTGATTTCTTCTTTCTTTTTTTGAACGTGATTTTTATATTCCAGATTGTTAATGATCTGCAATATTTAAGAATGTGCTAAACTATAACCACCACAGAAAATTATATTAATTCTGAGTAAAATGCCAGCAGGCAAAAATAGTGTCTTCAGCTGAGCAAAAAAGTAGGTGAACATGTAACAGGGTATGTAAATAATTTCAAGGGGAGAGGATACCAAGTTCCTGGGAATAAATACAAAGGAGACTTAAACTCTAAAAACAAATTAAAATCAGTGACTGGAAGTTACTGACATAAAATGTGCAGTTACAAACTGCTGGAGCAGACTACAGACAAAGTTTATCATCTAAAGAAGGATGGGATGCTTTCGTCAAAAAACGTCTCAGTAAATGCGACTTTGGGCTCCGTTAATGAGCGAGAGTGAAGGGCTGATGGTGCTCAAGGGTGGCTCAGGCTGTAGCTGATCAATGTGCTGCAGTTGAAACTTGGCCTTTGATTTATTTTCTTCTGAAGTCAGTCAGCTGGGTTGCAGCTTTGCTTCTGCAGTGTGGTTTCTGTGGACCAGGGGAATTAAGTCGTAGATGATACAGTGAAAGTATTTTCTTACCATTCTCCTTTGGGTGAGGGGCAGAGGTGTACGGGGGATATCCTGCTGTGCGTGAGGTTTGTGGCTGGATTTCTTTCGGAGCAGAGCTGGATGATGGAGAGGAGAGGAAAGGAGAAGCTACTCCACAAGTTTCCCAGTGCCTGGTGTTATTAGTTGTTCCACTCTGTGATATTTGAATGGGTTAACTTTGGGTGTCAGCTGAAGGAATCGTGATGGGCGGCTTTGCAGACCTGTGATGCCCATGCTGGGGGGATTCTCCTTCCATCCCCTCAAAACAAAGACAGCCTCATCGTAACGCTCGATGTATCATAAGCCTGTAAAAGCAGCAGCAGCGTTACTGCTGCTTGCCTGGTGCTTCACACCTGCACGGAAACAGCGCACCCCAAAAATAGACATTTTCTCCAGTCACCTGCAGGACTCAGAACTGGCAAACCTTTACGCAAAGAGATTTTCCCCTCGTGTTTCTTAACAAAAGCTCTTCCCATTGCCCCAGGTTCGTGTAGGTGGTGATTGCTCCGTCTTTAGAAATGATTGAGAGCTCTTTGTGCGATGTCCTTGCGCGTGGTGAGGGCAGCTGTCGTGTTAGAGGCTCGTGCGTGTCATGTGCGGATGTTTTTGAGGCTCTCTCATTCTGTGGCCGTGTAATTAATTGCCATCGCATTATCTCCGATATTCTCGCATGAGTGGAGGCTTGGTTCGTCGAATCAGCCGGTCGCTGTGCTCTCGAGATGTACTGTGTTTCAGTACTTGTGAAGCTGTTTGACCCTGGCACTCGTAAAGCAAACCTCATGACCTCCTGCGTGTCATGTGATGTCTCTTCCTAATGACTCCTCAGAGTCGTCAACAAAACCCTGTTGAACTAAAAAACCTGCGTGATTTTAGCACTCTGTAACAGCAGGCAACCGCTGCATCTTGAGGGCGAGGTGAAACTCGTGTCTTCGCTTGCCTTTCAGGTAGCTTTTCATCCGGTACCTCCTGCTGGGTACAGTCCACCTACTGGTTTGTGATGGGTCAAGGTTCCTTGTCCTACAGGAGGTCTCCAGCTGGTGAGGGGTCTGGAGAACATGTTTTGTAGGAGGGGCTGAGGGAGCTGAGATTGTTCAGTCTGGAGGAGACCTCGTTGCTCTCTACAGCTACCTGGAAGGAGGTTGTAGTAAGGTGGGTGTTGGTCTCTTCTCCCAAGCTACTCATGATAGGACAAGAAGAAATGGCCTCAAGCTGCACCAGGGAGGTTTAGATTAGATATTAGGAAAAACTTCTTCACTGATGGAGTGATGAGGCGCTGGCACAGGCTGCCCAGGGCAGGGGTGGAGAACCCATCCCTGGAGGTGTTCAAAAAACGTGTAGACGTGGCACTTGGCGACATGGTTTAGCGGTTATGGTGGTGTTGGGTAGATGGTTGGACTACATGATGTTAGAGGCCTTTTCCAACCTTAACGATTCTATGATTCTAGGAGATCTCTAGGAGGCTGAGTGGGAGGGTCTGTCTGGGAGGTAAGAAGCCAACGTGGGCTTCTGTGCCTGCTGCGGGCAGGGCTCCCTCTTGCTGACGAGACACTTGGCTTTTGAGTTTGTGTCGGTTTGGGGTTTTTTTGGGAGACCCCTCAAAGGAAGGGCTGATGCCAGATGCTCCCGTATCAGTGCTACGTTAACAGCGCTGTTCTTCAAAACCACATACGGGCGGAGAGGTTGGCTGTTCTCTTCGTTCCAAGCTGCTCTCCAAGCACGCTTGCTCTTTCGGCAGTCTTTGCTTGTGGTTGCACGATGTCTGTGTGCAAGCCGGGACCCTGGCATATGGTAGTCTAAAACGGCCACTCGATTCCCATTTTAAGAAGGGAGATCTTTTTTTCTGGGTTTTTCCTTCGAGGCTATATCCGTAAATAAATTTTAGGATTTCTGTCAGAATTATCGCCACCGATTACCTGCTGAAGTGCAACTTGCAAGATCACACCTCTTAAAATACAGTAGCTTTGATGGCTGGCATGTGGTTGATTCATATGTGTGAAGGTGTTAGGCATCCTGACCTCAGCTGAAACAATCATTTTGTGACAGCCATCGAATGTATGCACAGCACGCACGAGAAAGCTTTACTGGAAATGTTTCGTTTGTTGGTTGTGGGTTTTTTTTTTTGCTCTGAAGTGCAGTGGAAAGTCAGTGAAGAGGTTTGAAAAGACAACAAAAATCAAGCCTGGCAGCAAGTAACGGTTCCTTGCATGCAAGGTATTTCTTCGGTGTGGTTCATTTAAAAAAAGCTTTTCCTTCGTCCTGGGGAGGTTCCTCTGCAGGCTCTCGAGATGTGCAGCCAGGTGACAACCATCCCTGCAGACCAAATAGGTTGTTTTTCAGAAAGTGGTTACCCTTCCTGGGGTAGATGATGGTTTATGTTGGTCTAGCTGTAAAATATTATTATTGGTGCACTTATGGCATAGTACTGGCAGCGTAAAAATTTTCAGGATGCAGCTTGGATGCCAAACTCTTCATCGGTCTGTACTTGTAGCCTCCCGGTAACAGACCCTCCTTTAAAGGGTTGGCTGAGAAAAATAAGAACCCAACCCAACTGGTCAGCAGCTCAGGGAGTAAAAAAAGATCTGGGAGAAGTAAACTGCCGCTCAGATGAAGGATGGTTTTATTTGGGTAGACTTGGTGAGAAAAAAAAACCCTTGATGTAAGTTATCGGACTTAGAGAACAATTCTGCAAATGCTCTTCCAACAGGTTGGGCGCCGAGATCGCTTTGTGTCGTGTCCCGGGGGCTGGCACGGTTTCTCTTGGGGCGGTTTTGGGTCGCAGGCATCTCTTGCAGGGCTCTGCCCCCTCGGGGTTACCACGCTGCTCTCGGGAGGAGGATTGCTCTGCGGACATGTGATGCCTGCTCTGGGCTTTTCTCCTTGCCCTCCTCTCTGTTAATCCCTAGAAGTAAGAGTGAACTCTTTGGAGCTTACCTGGGCAGGTAGAAGGGCAGCGGCGGGGAGGGAGTCTTGACCAGCTGGCTGAAATAGCAGCGCTCCTCCTCTGTCTATAAGCGAAGACACAACTTTATCCGTGTTTCAAAGTCACTCGCGCGGCTCTGACTGCAAAGTGATCAAAGGCGGGCGTCCCAGAGACGGCCTCGTGTGCTCCCCTTCGCAGGATGTGTTGCTATTCCCCTTTTAATTTGTTTTTTTTCAATAAATCAGGCTTCATTCCTATTCATCATGTAAAGCTTGTTGGATCATGAGCCGCTGCAGAATGCTAACTAATTTCATAATACTCTGCATAAGGTGACCCACTTACAAGTTCATCCTTCAGTCGTGTTTAAGCTCTGGTCCTGATTTATGTAACAGCATATTGGTTTCATCAAGAATTGTCTGTGGTGGCTCCTTTTTGACCTGTACGTGATTTGTATTCGCCTCGATTTTAGGAAGGACTTTCTGTCTCTGCGCTGCACATATGGGCAGAAGAACGTTAATAAAAAAAGTAGCCGGTGCTTTGAGTTCTTCTGTCACTTAAAGATATATTGGAGTAGGAATTAAAAGGAGTTTCCAGAAGTCTGCTGCAGACAGGGCAATGGGAACTTAGCACGAAATGTCCCTCATTACGGTGCCCTGCTTGTACGATTTTGGGCTGTGATTAACATTGGCTGTTGCGTGGTATGAGTCACAGGCCCTTGGATTTGAGGGCGAGAAGGCAGGACAGTCCTTTTTCCTCCGTATTTTGCTCGTACCCTCCCTTTTTCTGAAATGAGAATCAAATTAGAGATAATTCCATTGTCCTGTCCTTACCTTAATTCGTTGTACTCGCTTTAATTCCTTTGTCAAGAGAGAATTGTGCTGCCTAAATGGATTAGGGCTTGCAAGATTTACGGCACTCGCTTTGCTTTAAAAAGATATTTGGAAGTTGTTAACAAGGGAGTCAATGCAGCCGAGGCATTTGGGCTTCCTTAACAATAAAGCACGAGTTTCCATTGCTCTAGGTTTGGGTTTACTGAAAACTAATTAACCTCCCAGTCCTTCAGGATATCGCGCAGCGCAGAAAGGGGAAATAATCTGTATTTGCACCTGTGGATGAAGGTACAGATCCCGATCTGTTGTCTCTTGTAGCATTCGTTCTTCTGCCGCCTGACGGAAGATAAGAAGTCTGAAAAGTTCTTTAAGGTTTTTTATGATCGCATGAAAGTGGCGCAGCAAGAAATCAAGGCTACTGTCACAGTCAATACTAGTGACTTAGGAAACAAAAAGAAAGATGAAGACTCAGACAGAGATGCACCGAGCAGGAAAAGAGGTAATCCCCAGCCGCTCCCTTTCTGAAGTGACAAGGGAGCAAAATGCTGTGTTTTGAACTCGTTTCGATTGATGCAATAATGCTCTGATCTCTGATCCCACAGAGCAAAGTTCAGAGGTCAGTGGTGCCCTGGCTCGGGATTTCAAGAGCTTCATCCCCTCTTCATCCATTTGTGAGATTGTGCTATTGAAATGATGAAAAGTGTTTCTGAGATGAGACTCTGCCGCCTTGTCTCTCGTGACAAGCTGCCCAAACTGATCTGTAGTAATGACCCTGGACTGTGGGTTGTGGTCAGTGCCTTCTTCAACAAAAAGTAGAGAAATCCTAATTTTCTTCTGTTAGCAGGTCCTTTTATCATAACTCCTGATAGTGCTAGATGCGTGTGCCCTAACCAATTAATACCAGAATTTATAACTCCGATGCAGTTCGCAGAAAAGGTGCAAAGAGAGTGACATGCTGCCCTTCTAAACTCGAGACCTCACTTCACACTAAACATACTTACCCAAAGAACGGGCGATGGGTAGCTGGCCTGCGTGTGAAACTGTGATGGGAAACGCGTGAATAGATTTTTTTCTTTTTTTCCTGATCCTCTTTATTCAGTTTGCCTAAGGAAAAATCTTTTCTTGTGTTTTCAGTGAGAGAGCCAATGACTCAAATTACCGAAGAGGTCCGGGATCAGTTACTGGAGGCTTCTGCAGCCACAAGAAAAGCTTACAACACGTACCGGCGGGAGGCTGATCCCGATGACCATTATTCGCCGGGAGAAGGGGCACAGGCTGCGGCGGACAAGAGCAAAGATGAGCTGGAGATGAGCGCTGTCATCTCGATAATGCAGCCCATCCTCCGGTTCTTGCAGCTGCTCTGTGAAAACCACAACCGGGATTTGCAGGTACGGGGGAGCTCACGTCACCTCGCAGGGTTGCGGCCGTCACACCGGTTTCACGTGCCTTTTTAAATGAGTGTGTAACTCACTGTTTTCTTTGGCCTCCAAGGTAATCCCCCCAAAAAAGTATTTATACCTTGTTGGGCAAATATAGGGAGGTCCAATTATCCAGCGTCTTTTCAATGTACATGAAAGGTGATGGGATCAACACTTGATGTGGCTTTTTAAAAACAGTCCACTTCAAGCAAACGTTCTGCTGTGAAGTTACCAATCTGCTTTTGAGAGGAGGGAAAAGAAAAAAAAATTCACATAGGAAAATAGAGCACGCATTGGCACTTTGGTTCCAGCAGCCCTAACTTCCCAGCGAGCAGTTTCTCATGTGTTTTGCGGATCTGTTCATGCACATAGAGTTGAACACACGGGGATGGTATCAGGAAAGCCTCAGCTGGAGTTGAAGCTGGTGAGGGACGTGAAGGGGAGCAAGAAGGGTTGTGTTCACAGCAGAGGGACACGAGGGAGGGCCTGGGTCTGCTGCTGAGCAGGGCAGAGGCCCTGGTGATGGGCAAGGACGTGGAGAAGGCCCAAGTGCTCAATGCCACCTTCGCCTTGCTCTTTGCAATTAAGATTGACGTGCATAAACCCTTAGGTCCCTGAGACCAGAGGGGACATCTGGAGCAAGGAACCCTTGGTGGAGGAGAGTTGGTTTAGGAGGCATTTCAACAGGGAAATGCTGGAGTCGCTATGCCTGGAGGTGTTCAAAAAAAAGAGTAGGCATGGCACTTCAGGATGTGGTTTGGTGGTCATGGTGGTGTTGGATTGACAGTTGGACTTGATGATCTTAGAGGTCTTCTCCGACCTTAATGATTCGGTGACATGGACAAGTCCGTGGTGCCTGGTGGGATGCCCCAGGCCCCTGAGGAGTGCTGGGTCCAGTCCTGAGCTCCTGAGTCCAGCAGCGAGTCTCAAAGCTGACTGAAGGGACAGGAGCGTCTGACGGGCAAGGAGTGGCAGAGAGACCTGGGAGAGGAGGAGAAGACTCGAGGGATCTTGCTGTGCACATTGACACCTGATGGTGGGACGTGAAGAGGACAGAGGCTGGACTGGATGGTCTCCAAAGGTCCCTGCTGACCTCAGCTGTCCTGGGGTGCTCTGGGACACCTTTGTATAATTTTAAATAGCGAGCCCAGAACTTATACACTAGTAATCTTATCTAGCGCGTGCCTCCGCAGGAGATAAGATTTTTTTGCTTACAAATGGCCCGCAATTAACGTGATTTTTTTGTTCGGCGTAACCGCTGCCGGATTAGAATTGAGTGCAGGCGAGGAGCTGGGGAGATGCGGCACAATGTACTAAATGCCCTCATAAAGGAGGAATAATTGCCGTGATTGCATATTGTTGCACGGCACGCCAGAAGTGTAGGACCCTGCGTGAGTGCTTTTCAGACCTGCCAAATCACTTCCGCTGAACTCGCATGCCCCGCGGCTGGCAACACGTGAAATCAGATCTGTATGGAAATGTTCCTGGGCTGCCAACCTGTCATTCTTTTTTAGCGTTTTGTAGGTGCTGAGGTTACATACATCAGGGTTTCTCTTATTTTTTTTATATCTTTTTTTTTTTCCCCCAAAGAAGGTATTTGATCTTTGTTTCGTCAAACAATTTTCATGCCGTTAGCGATGTCGGAGACAAGTAGGACGGCAGTTTGACGTGGCGGTGGTCCAAACCGCACGCACATGATCCCTCGCTGCTGCCGTCTTTGGCACGACTCTGAAAGCTATAGGAGCAAAATTGAACTCGAGCCAACGCAGAAGCTTGGCCTGAGCTGTTCGTCATCCTCAACAATTAGATTTCCCAAACAGCAGGTAGTTACATTCAGCTCTGGAAAAGGTTTAAAAAAAAAAAAAATTACAGAAATAAGGTGGGAGGAACAATTTTTCAAACATAATCCTCTTGCTGCTTGCCTGCCTTGATGCTTGCCTTTCCCCTTCAGCCCTGAAGGGGAGGCAGGAGTGGCTGAAGCTTCAAAACCTTTTTTGTTTTTCAGTGAGTACCTTGTAACTGAACTTATTGCCAGGGAAATCACTGCTTAAAGGAGTAAGCCAGACCTATTCAGGAAGATGTGTGCTTCTCAAAATTGCGTGTTAGGTTTGAGCTAGAAGCGAGCCGGGATCACCTGCCCAGGGCAGTTGTAGGTTTGTCAAACCGAGCGTTTCAGAAGCCGTTAGCAATTGTGAGTAGCCCCGTGTTGTGCAAAAACAGGAAAATGCAAGTCACGGCTGTCGGAGTCGATACGTATTCTAGATGAGGAGGAAGCGTTTGCGAAATGGCTCGGGGAGCTGCAATCTTGTGCCTTCTGCATCGCTCGGCTGTTCCCTGCACAGATAGACCCGCGGTTTGTTGCGTGTCACGCACAGTCAGAGTGCTCCCCCCGCCAACTTACTCCGTGGGTCTGGAGGAGGCGTTGCAATATCTTCTTAAATTATTGCAAGGACTAGGATAGACAGGTGGACCCCTAAGTATGTTTTGTTACCCACTTCAGGCTGAATGCCTGAGATTTTGCTGAGGACTGCTCTCGATACCTCTATTTCTTAACAGAGATACTCGGGTGCTCTCACTGCACTCGCCTTAGGTCTGACCCTCGTTTCTGTGCAAGAGCTCAGCCTGGGAAGCGAAGCTGTCACGGCTCTGGCTCACTGTAGCCAGCCTGTCCTCTGCTGTGCTTCGGCCGGGCTCCAGCCCCACCTGTTCCCTGAGGTAGTCTTTTCTGTACCCTCCCTTTTCTGAATGAAGATGTCCCCGTTGCAGTGCAGAATCGGTCACGAGAAGTGAAGCTCGTGACGAGCTGCCTTGAAGCTTTGCTGGAAGCAGGAGCTGCGCTGGCTGGAGGGGAGGAGGAAGAAGAGGAGGAGGAGATTGGGGATTCCCAGTGGGGCAGGGAGCTGCACCCTCCCTCCAGAGCCTTCCACGCCGCCACAGCTTCAGCGTTCCTGCAAAACTCCTTCTTCATGGGAAGGGTAGTACTCCAATTCCTTTTCTTATCAACTACCTTATTACTGTGAAATAAAAATTCAGTGGTAGTACACTAGCCGGTCACTCTCAGATTAAAGGTCTAGGCCAGGAGGTTAAACACCGCTTTTGTGCAAGAAATGTAGGAACTGGTACAGCTTTTAACGTTGGGTTTGACCGTTTCTTTTACATGTAATCCCTGGAGACAAAGTCTAGGTAATAAAGAACAGTAAAGCTCTGCATGCTGCAGGAGGGCGATTCGATAATTCGGCTGGGGGAACAGTACTGCTGCGTGCGGAGGATGAGCTCGTTTATCTCGCCGTGTTTTAGGCGAGAAACGCTCGTGAGAATTAACTTTGTAGGACCAAAGAGCCAGCCTGCATTCAGTGAAAAAAAATGTTTTGCCTTTATTGCAAAGTTTTTCCAATTAGAGGATCAGATTTCTGCTGAAACGGAGACTGCCCAGAGAAAACGTTTAGACTTTGGGGGGAATTACCTGCTTAAAGGGTAGAACTGTCCTTCCAGGGATTCTGTGTTCATCCCTGCTTGAACCAACCAAGCTACTGTTCTCAAAGTGGTCAATATTGTTTGTAGTCATTGTGATTTTCTCTGAAGGGTACGGAGCTTTAGGCTGTGTGCTGGGAAGCAAAGTCTCTCACACCCTGGTAGCATGAAGTCAGCTCTTGAGAAGGTTATTCACAAAATGGTGCCTTCTGAGCGCGTTTCGTCCCGTCGGAAACTCTCTCCCTCTCAACTGAGTGTATAGGATCCTTAAAGTTAGGCACTATGAATGCTCTTTTCCCATCGAGATCCCAAAAGCTGCACATTTTTCGTATTTTCCAGCTGAATCTGCAACTCTGTCATTCCTTATCTGAATGCAGCGTCTCGTGGGTGGGTTCGCTCCCACTGAATGGGATGGCTCCAGTGGCAAGAGACATTCCCCGGGGCAGTTTCTCACAGTGCAGCCACGTCTTGTTTTCTACAATTTTTTCCTTCCCCTGGTTTAGCCGTTTAATATTGTTTTCTGCCTCCTGTGCCTCCTTCCTCCTCTTTTCTTTGTGTTTATTGACTTTGGATCAAGAAGCTAAGGCTGGTATAAACCTAGCCATAATCAGAATAAATGCCATACTGCAGCCGGGGAGCATTTTGTTTCATCACTTGCAGTATTATCCATTATTTTTTCTTCTTTTTTAATATTCTTTTTTTCCCGGAGGGAAGGCACGAGCTCCGATTTCTGTAGCATCAACCTCTTTTACATTCTGACAAGTTAATCAAAAGTCAGGATACTAAATGAGCAATCAGCTGAAAAGTGCTGAATCACTGTCACCTTTAGTCTGCATTCGTAGACAGCCTTTTCCTTTTTTAGCTTAGCCTTCAATTGAATCTGGCAATTTCTCAGTCTGTTTGCCTTAAAAGACTTATTAGCCTGACGCAGGCACTAGAGGCAATCAGTTAACAGCGTTGCTCTGCAGCCTGGCAGGAAAGACCTTGCTGCCTCCGTAGTCCCGTGCATGTTGTGCATCCAAGGGTGGGGGTTTTTTTCCACCTTTGAAGTGTTTTGTAACCTGCTGGAATTAAGGGAGATGAGAGCTCAGCTGAAACTTCAAGGAAAAGAAATTGATAGCGGCTATCGGTTTTTACCCTGTGGGAACACACTGACAAGCAGCAGCTGAGTCACTGGGAAATCTCATTAATTGTCCTTTTTTGTTTTGGTTGGGTTGGTTTGTTCTGTTGGGTTTTGGTGTTTTCTTGTGGTTTTTTTTCATTTGGAATACAGGAGAGAGGAAGCAATGTTTAGTGCGCGCTGATAAATCTGGCGTTTCGCTAGAGGAGCCGCTCCCAATCAGGGGCTTCGAGCAGGGGTTACAATAATTAATGTGGGAAGAAATGCAACTCAGAGAATTGCATTTCAAGACGCCTCCCTTGGAGGCACGCGGGCGGCTGCCTCCGTGCTCCTTGGGCAGGTGACGCTGCCGTGGAGCCAGGGCGCTGCTCCTGCTGTCTTTGGAGAAAGGTCTCGGGAGGAGAGAGAGCCTGGAGGGGATGGTGGGCAGGGAAGTGTTAGCAGGTAGGCTAGGAGGAAGGCTTCCAGGCTCAGGAGAGCTTTCTGTTCTGCGTTGGGTTTCGGGGCTCTAATGGATGCACTCTGCTTAGTGCTGCCTGTCTTCTCTAAGATTTGAAGCCAACAAGCTGCTGGAGAGCGGCGCGTTGCAAGCGAGCCCTGCGAGGGGCTTAAATGACTTGTCTGGGTTCCAGTGAAATTAGAGCAAGATACCCAGGCAGTGCAGTTGGGAACTTCATAAAAATATGACGATCCAAACATCCGTTTGTATGGTTTCTTTCGTTCCCTCCCCCTCTCCCCGCAGAATTTCCTTCGCTGCCAGAACAACAAGACGAACTACAACTTGGTGTGCGAGACGCTGCAGTTCCTGGACTGTATCTGTGGAAGCACCACTGGTGGACTCGGGCTTCTCGGTCTGTATATAAATGAGAAAAACGTAGCACTGATCAACCAGACGCTGGAAAGCTTGACCGAATACTGCCAGGGGCCCTGCCACGAGAACCAGGTATTACATCCACAGCTGTAAAATTCTTCAGCCTTCCTCATCAGCCTTCCTCCCTCCACCCACAGCGTGGGCTTGGCTCTGTCTCGCCGGACTCATCTTGACCTGTAACACTCCTCACTTGACTTGCCCTACAAAGGGATTTTATGTGGGGTTTATTTTTCCCTTTAGAGCCTCTTAATACTCAATTTTTTAAAAGCTGTTTTATTAGACTGAACAGGGAAGAGTGGGGAATTTTTGGACTTGAAATTCTCTATAGTAAAATTACTGCTGAATCCAAGCTCGTTGCCTGTTGTGAGGCCAGAAGTGTGTCCCCCCGAGCTTGATGAAGAGGAGGTTGAGCTCTGTAGCTTTGTTCCTGAAGTCAGTGGCCATGTGGAGGTTGTTTGCAGATGCAGGTTTGTGCGTAGTCGCTGCCAGCTCTCCCTGTGCTTGCACGGGGACGCGACAGAGGTTGCTGTGAGCGCGGGTGGGTGTTGGTGAGGACCACCAAGTGCCTGCCGAGCGTGACTCTTGCTGTAACTGTCTTAATGAGTCACATGAAGGCTGAAATTCAAGAGTAAACCATCCTAGAGAGGTAGTTACCCAAAAATGGTTTCCCAAATTGGCTGCTCTGTGGCATCGACTCCACAAATAACATCTGCTCAGCGTGTGGTAGAGAACGGTCTTCCCGGTGAGCTT